GACTGGGGCACTGCAGCGGCCACTAGGCTGCCCAGGGACGTGAATCCTGGCCCTGTGGTTGTTTGGCAATGGCGTGACCTTGTCAAGTTACCAGCATCGATCTGCACCTCGATTCTCTCTCCAGGAAGATGGGCGGAGCAGCAGTGCAGGCTGCAGGGCTGTCCTGAGGGCTAAGGGGTCGAATACTTAGAATAAACAGGCTGAACAATTGGTGTGAAAGACAGAATTATATACCTGGGACCATGGCACTTTCACAGAACTAGCGAGTCTGGCTGCGTCCCATTCCTCCTGGCTAAGTCTTTATCACGCTCTTAAAATGGATCTTCAAAATAGAACACAAGGAAACAGTTCAGGCTTCTGAACACATAGAAGAAGCGAGACAAAGGTAAACAGTATAAAAACAGTATAAAAAATGTTTCCTTTGTTCTCTCCTATAGGAAAATTATTTAGATCACAGTTTCATAATTTTGAAATTAGGCTCTAAAATGTCACTGACTCAGCAGAGCAACGCTAATCTGTTTTCTTAAAAACACCCAGTTTATGTTGGGAGGATCCTCCCAGGATGGGAGACGCATGCTGAAAGACTATAGACCGAACATGATTGCCACTCAATGCCTCTTTTGCAAACCACAGAACCCAAAAGGAGAGGGAGAACTAAAGGGAATGCCCTGCCACAGAGGCAGGGTGGGGTGGGGGGAATGGGGGGTTGGGAGGGATACTGGGATCCGTGGTGGTGGAAAATGGGCATGGTGGAGGTATGGGTATTCGATCATTGTATAACTGAAACCCAAGCACAAAAATTTGTAAATCTACAACTGTACCTTTTGGTTTGTCACTAATAAAAATAAAAAAAACAACACGCGGTTTTTACGAAATGATATTTTTGTTCAAAATAAGGTGGGAAGTGAGCGTAAGAATATGCTCACACAAAGGCAAATATTCATCTGTAAACAGCTTTATAGGTCAGTTTATTTTTTTAAAAAGCTCAGTATTTCTAGTGTTAATCTCAAAATTTTGAAGAGGAAAGTGAAAGTGATTACATAAGAAGAATATCTAATGTGGTATGTTATTTTATGGATTATTCTTAAACCACAGCTAAATTAAAAAAAATAAAACTCACGGAGATGAACCAAGTCACATTATAATCTATAAAGCTTTTTTTGGTGGGGAGTTTGGGCCACAACTGGTGATGCTCAGGGCTTACTCCTGCATCTGTGCTCAGAGATGTCTCCTGGCAGTGCTCAGAGAGTCGCATGTGGTACTGAGGACGGAACCTGTCAAAGCAAGGTACTGCCGTACTATCTCCCTAGTTCTCTATTTAATAATCTGAAGTTCCAAATTGGAGAGCATAGGCATCCCCCCTCTAACCCCTGCCCCCCCCCCCCCAGAACAGCTGGAATAAGAAATGTAACTTTAGAGGCATTTTAATGACTGGTTCAGGTCCCAGCATCTTTGAGTCAATGAGGAGGTGTGACCTGGCAGTACTCAGCAGAGATCACAGTAAATATCACCTAACTAGAACTGAGCACTGAGGTTACAATGTACATCTTTGCAAGGACTGCAAGGAGAGGTAGAAATGATCTCACAGGAAACTGAGCATAAAGTCCTGCAGCCCTGAGAAGTCCCCGAACTCTGGCCCACCAAATGGGTATTCTAGCTTGCTGCACCACAGCCAGTGCCTGTGCTTGGCTGGCTGTTAAGAGCCCAGGTGGTAGGCCAGCTCTTCTCGAACTCTCCAAGCCCAGGTGGCAGGCCAGCGCGTCTCGAACTCTCCGAGCCTGCAGACTGGCGCTAAGTCACAGACCCCACGAAATGAAGGGGAAATGGACCCCTGCTCTCATCACAGAGGAAGAGTCCTCGGACCTTAATTCCTGGCACAAGGTTGATTCGGAGCAGTCCACCAAAAACTACTGATGAGAGACAGGAAGGGTTCAAGGGCCTAAATTCTAATTCGTACAGCAAATTAATTTTTTTCAAAGAAAAGAGGTTTCCCTTGATTAAGACGGACAATTATTTGATCTATCAAAATGAGATTTTCATGTTTAATGACAAAAAAAAGGGGGGGGAAATGCCAAATATCAGTTTTCTTTTAAATCTATGAAGCTAAATATAAAACTTTACTAACATAAAAGTGTTACCATGTTTCTGATGATCTTTGTTTCACTAGTCCCACTTCTAACTTGGCAAAATTACAAGCAAGTTTGTGAAAATGGTCAACTTCTTACCAGGTTAGGCCAGTTCCCCCCGAGGATTCAACCACAGCACTGATGAAGAGCTTCAGCTATAGAAAAATAAACATGTATCTTGACCCCACAACTCCAGGGGGGGAAAAAAATCAGAACACAAAGAGAAAGTGGACTTGGATTTTTAATTTTTTTTAAAGATTATCTCTCTATATATATTAATAAAAAGTGCAAAGAATAGACCTTCATGTTTAAATTATATTCTAAAATAAAATATATATTTCCATTAACTGCAGGAGACAGCTGGCAAGTAAAGAGCCTGAGAGAGTCCAGTCCCTCTCCATCACTACAGTGGACGTATATTTTTAAGGAAGCACCGAGGAAAAACAGAGAGTTCACGATACATCTCATAACACAGAGAGCTTTTGGGTGTTCTTGAAAACAGTTTGTTTGCGTTTTCCATCTCGCACGAAATGAAGGGGAAATCAAATCCACAGACAGCGAGGACACTGCCAAGAACAACCTCGCATTCTGCATCGCTGTTTCTGGGCCCCGGGGCTGAGCCCCCTGGGCAGCAAAGCCACCTTCACATGCACGCACGCTGGCAGGCGCCATCACCAGCGACCCTGAGCCGCCGGCAGTGTTCTCTGCTCATAGCAGCGGCCAAGCCTCAACATCTGCTCAGTGACATGCCTTCCTGCTGGACATAACTCATGTTAGGGGTTACTTTCAACAAGGCTCAGAGAAACAAGGGATTGTAGACTTTATCCGCTGCTTTCTTACGTAATTGTGGTGTTAGGAGCAATAGGTTATAGAAATGACAAAATATTGGGGGCGAGGGCGGGGGTCACAGCCTGCAGTTCTTGTCCCTGGCAATGCTCAGAGAACGCTAGGGACCTGACCTGGGGCTCCTGCATGCAGAGTCTGCGTTCCAGCCGCTGAGCTCTCTCTCCAGGACAACGGGGACTTTTCATTAAAAAAAAAAAAAATACACCTAGGAATCTCAACTTTTCCCCCTTTGAATCAGTTTGGAGTATTTCAACAATTCCATTAAAAGACAAAAAAAACAAACAAACAAAACAGGTGACTCTGCGGCAGCTCTGTGTCCACACAGAGAAGGAGCAAGTCTTGGTCCTGATTCGGCCCTCCTTCGTGACTCCCTGCCTTTTCATCACTGAGAAGGGTTCTATCGCAGAAAAGATAGGCTCTATCTTTTATGCCTGTAGCAATGAAGCTGTAATACTGGCTATGACAGCATTTTGTTTCATAAATGTCATTAATATGCTCTAACTACATCTAGACAAAGTCACTAGTAAAATACAGATGCGCTGCGGAGATCAATTATGCATGACTTGTAGACTCAACCATCCACGTCTCTTCTCGTTCTTGGCCTGTTACAAGAAACGATTTTGGTTACAAGTGTCTACACAGCACCAATTTTATTTCAAAAGCAGCGTCCTAACCCAGTCACTGAAATGAATCTACAAGTACACACGCTCGAATAGCTGTTCTCCTTCCCTTCAGGAACGTGGAAAGATCAGTAACTGGATTAGATTCTCCATCAAGACTATTGGGCGGCTGTGAAAACCGCCAATGGCAATGCCTGCAAAGACCCATGTCCACGGGATGAAGCGATCAGTCCCCTGACATGCAGCTGAGATGTACGAGAAGACTTTCATGCCTGCAGTTGATGGACACCGTGTTCTGTAATGACAGAAGGAACAGGTCTCTAAGAGTAAAAAAAGCATCTCATAAAACTTTGTCATATAGAAAATAGCCTATTCACGACGCCCATTCCGCTTATCACTGAAGTAGAGCGTCAGTGTCCACGCTGCCTTCCGCGGGGGGACAGCCGGAGGTCACAGTCTCACGGGATCCCGGCGCGTCTCCTCCCCACGCTAACAAAAGCAGCGGCTCCATTCCACCGCTTTATCCCAAACTCATTTGCACTCATGCTCACATACACAAAGCACCCACAGTTTTCATCTTCATGACACTGTTGTCACACTTTCCCCCACTTTCAAAAATCTGCCAGGAAAATGTGACTGCAAACTCATTCTTCGCGTCTGTCCCCGGCCTGACGAGGCGCCGCCCTCTCACGGGGTTCCGAGAGCTCCAGGCGCACAGCAGCAGGGGGAGAGGCCCCATTCGTCCTTCTCAGACCCTTTGGTTCCCACCTTAAATGTTACAGTGAATGTAGACTTGACTCGGGAGGCCCAAGTCAAAGGCTTTACAGATACTGAACCTGAAGTGCATTAAGAGAATAAACATCTGCTTTAACAGCTTAGGAAAATTTAAAAAGTAGCAGTAATAAACACAGCTCCCCATACATGAAGAATCTACAAGAATCTTTAAAAAACGTCATCAGAAATCAAAGAACGTGGAGGCGGAACGGGAAGGAAGAGGAGGGTCGAGTCACATAACCAAGGCTGAAAGGTCAAATGCAATCGGGTACCGACTACATTCTTTGAAAATATTTCATGTGCTCACCTTCTGCCCAAGTTTACACCGTAAACGTGGAGGGCTGGGAAAGACACACGGTAAGGGGAAGGGTCACATCTTGTTAAAAGAAGAACAAAGGAAAAGACTTCAGAGGAGGGAAGGAAGTAGCTTTTAAAGAAAAGTGCTTTCAATATGCTTCTGCAAACAAAAACAAAAACAAAAACAACAACAACAAAACCCAAACCAAACCAAAAAAGAAAAAAAAAAAAACAAACAAAAACAAAAAAATATATATATACAGGACCTGGAGTCAATTCCAAAGTTTTGACATTTACTTCACCCACAGGTCAGGCAAAGCTTTTTTTTGTAGGAGCATCTAAATAAAAACGTCAAACCAAACCATTACCACGTCACCACATCCCAGGAAAGAACGGGGACTCAAATTCCCCTGAATTCAAACTTCCCACGTTCAATGCAAAGTGCAAGAGCCAGGGCTTCGAGACAACACAGCTGCACGAGCCATCCCCCACGCTCCCGAGAGCCCATCAGCTAATTCTCACGCTCCTGGACGCGTGTCCACGTGTCCACCACTCCACCGGGCGCTTCCGAAAGTCAGGCTTAACATAACGAGAAGGATCGACTGTGGAAATACATTCAATAAGCAAAAGGAAAAGCATTCTGGGATCAGACGCTGCCCGCATTCCGGAGGTCGTGGTGGGTACACCGTGCCAGGGCAGGGGTGCGAGGCTGCCCGGCCTGCACTTCCCGAGGAAGGGCAGGGCTCACCCGAGGTTCGCCCCCTCTACACGTCCTCAAGACCCCGACAGGGCCTGGGTTCTGACTGAGTACCTGAGATCAGAATCAGGTTGAAAAATGCCTAAAACAGTAAAAAAAAAAAAAAAAATTATTTCTGAAGGGAGACAGGAAGAAAAAAATAATCACCCACAATGAATTATGGAGAGAGTTTAACTACTACGTAAACATGCGGACACGGGAAAATTAAACCACAGCAAGGAAAGAGGGGGAGGGGAGAAAGAGCTGGGGGAGGGGGTGGACCCTGCCTGGAAAGACTCAGGTTCGGGGGGGGGGGGCGCCTCCTGACACCCTCAAGGGGGACACTTGTGCCCGGCAGCTTGACCACAGCGGAAGTGCCAAGCCAGCAGCAGACGGACCCAGGGACACTGCAGAACGTCGGAGATTCCCGAGCCGTCCCAGACGGAGGGCTCACAGGCTGTAGATGGGGCCCGGTCTGCTGGCGCAGTGGGAGAAACTGGTGGTAAAAAATACCAAAAACAGCCCCCTTCCCGTTTTTCAGGGAAAAAAATATACAAACACCCCCCTCCCCTCATAAACCTAAACAAAACGAAACAAAATCAACCTTCTCCCTCTCCTAAAGAAAAGCACATTAGAAACAAGCGCCCTGCGGGAAGTCCTCCTGTGTCCGCGCTGGAAGAGGTCATTTTGTTTTGGACTCCACGTAGATCTTGTCTCCATCCCTAATGCCAAAGGAATGCAGAGCCCGAGAGCTGTACTTCATCTCCTCAGGCCCGAAGGGCGCTTCGTGGTCGAAATAGTAGAGGAGCATGTTGCTTGTGGGTAACTGCACGAGAGTCTTCAGTTGCTTCTTGAGTTCTGCAACTGTTTGGTCCAGACGAATGCTCACTTCCTCCACCTGATTGTTAAAGTGGACCTGGACTTTCGCGCTGCTCTGCGGTCTGAGGTCCACTTCTGCCAAAGGCTCCAACTTTCCATATTTTGTGATCAGTTCATGATACCTAAAAAAACAAACAAAAAACAAAGCAGGGCTCAGCGTAGAAACAGCAGAAGAACTACTACTCGGTTTCGTCAGAGCTGCAGGCCAGCTCCACTACCAGTTTCCACATCTTTCTCATTCCTTGTTCTAATTCTCTCCCTCTCCCTCTCTGTCTCTATCACCCCCCGCCCCCGGCCCACTCCCCAACTCCCCCTACATTGTCCAGCCACCTATCAGATGATTACTGCGGAACTGGTCGTCCTATTGAGACCACGTTAAAACTACATGCTTGCACGAGGGATGTTCGAAGAGCTGGTGCACAGGTTTTGCATGTGGGAGCCTCATGCTCCATCCCTGGCACCACAAGGGCTCCCAAGCACTTCTAGGAGTGACCCCCAAGCATGCTGAGTAGTCCTCAAGCATTGCATGTGTCCCTCCAATCCAGTCCAATCCAACCCAACCCAGCCCGTACCGCACCCCCCACCTTTGTGGGCAGGGGAAGATTATCTCTAAATACAGTGATCACGCTGCTACTGGCTAGAGAGGGAAATGGAAGTAGGAAAGGGTCACTCCAAAGGCAGAAGAGAGAAGGCCAATCGCTCTGCAGAACCAGTTTTCTTGGGTGTCATCATCAAGAAGGGAAGGGCCTAACCTCACGCCCTTGATAACTGCCAGGAAGGTGGAAGAACGCTAGTGGTTCTGAGTCTTGGCGAGGACAACTCACAAACTCGACCATCTGGCATCCCCGCCGTTAGCCCAGCTTCCCCAGCAAGGCCTCGTTCAACTGTCACAGCTGCAGTGCTGGGAACCACGGCGAGTACTGAATGCATTCCAGACTGCGGCAGGGGCCGGGGGAGCGGTAAATGAGGAACACAGGTTCCTGGTGGGGCTATGAGGACCGCAGAGGCCACCGAGGGAAGTGAATTCCAGAGAGAGGGCGAGGGCCCAACACCCCCGTTCCCCAGGTGGAGAGCCTGTTTCCACGCCAGCCGCTGGGGAGCCGGGTCTGATTCTGAGAGCACTGTGTAGCAGCTGATGTGTCAGAGACGGGGGAGAGCTGGGATGCTCTGCTGATAGCTTCCTACTCCCAACACGCACCGAGGTTAATTCAGGCCCAGAATACCGCGACCCTGTAAGATCCCTCCCGCGCCACCCCCACTCTATTTCTGGCTTTGCTTCAGCTAATCTAGGTGGAAGGCGTGTCAGAAGGAGAGAGGAAGACCCCTGTGGCTGGGCTGGAGGGAACTGTTCCTCGGCCCGAGAACGGGGCAAGGCAGGAGAGCACGGGTCGGAAGTGGCTGAGCGAGGGCCAGAGTCTTCACGGTGTCTTTCATTAGCCAAGACTTGGCCACACCCTCAGCTCCTCTGAGGTAAAGCTGGGACGATGAGCCCGGCCCATCCTACCACATAAAGAAGTCACAGAAAGACATCAAAAACAAGTAAGGTTTTTTTTCTCGACTCCAAGTTTATATTAAAGTTAAAATAGTCATGTGGCATTCCTACTGTCATGGGGCTTCCATGACTGAAACACACACACACACTCACACATGCACACACATGCAGGCATGCATGCGCGCGCACACACCTCCCACCCCCACCCCCTTAGAAACCACACAACTGAAATAGTCTTGGGTGGCACCTCTTGGAAATGGTGCTGGCATGATGAAACAGATGATCAGCCCTTCTCCCAGCACTTGAGTCAAAAATAGTGCTTTTCAATGGTGCTTTTAAAAAGAAAGTGGCAGCAACCAATGAAGAACGAGAGAGAAGGAATACCTATAACGGCTAAGCAGGGACCCTTGCTCAACACACAGAAGCCACGGAGACAGTGCTCCAAGCCTGAGCAGACCGACCAACCCTTCCCAGTTTAGAGAAACTGAGGCTGCATGGGGCAGGAGTCAGTCAGAGAGAGACTAAGGAAAGGGCCGATGGCCAGGAGCCAGCGTGCTGGGAGATTGGCCAAGGCTAAGAAGACACAAATTCCAAATAACCCCCAAACCACCAGGACTTGACATTTTCACGGTTCCAAGCTGAAAGCGTGAAAGGATTCCCGGTCTCTTTCCTGTATCCCGTCTCACGGTATATACCCTCAAATGAGTGAAGCTGGGTACTAGTAATAAAACCTCAGAGAAGGTAGCAAAATTCAGGGGGCTCAAGTTAAAGGTGACCCCAACTCTAGGGATGGCTTTCCTGCAGACGACAGAAAACCAGGCTGGCGATGTCCACTTTTACACTCTGCAAAGATCGGATAGAATCCACTCACATGTTTCCAGAAAGAGGCGCTCTAGAGAGGCCCACCTTTAAGTCAGGCCAAGAAGCTGAGACACAGAACGGTAGCTAAGTTATACCACAGCGAAAAGGATGAAGGGGAGGAAAGGTGTAAGTAAACCGCAGAGACAGAATTCATCTGAAAGAAGCATAACTGAGAGCAAGGAAAAGGCCCACGAATACCCTAAGGTCCATAAACTACCAAGTGTGTGAAAGCACTAAAACAAGTGCTCAGAGATAATAATAACAATAAACAACACAATAAAATGAAAAGGGAGATGGCAGAGACCATGAAAGAATGCGAGGAGCAACCCAACACCATCTCTGACCAAAGAAATCCAAAAGTATGACCTGAGACTATTGCTATACCCAATCAAATCTTGCTACACCCAAGATTTTTCAGAATTGAATTTAACAGTTCAATGTTCTGAAACAAAAACTTCAGGTTTTTAATTTGGGGGCCACACCAAGCAGTGCTCAGGGCTTCTTCCTGGTTCTGCACTCAGAGATCACTCCTGATGGGGCTTGCGGGACCCTATGGGATGCCAGGGATGGAACCTGGGTCGGGTCGGCCAAGGTAAGCACCCTGTCTGCTATATTCCTCTCTGAACCCCAAGGTTTCTTTACTAACTTGCAGGTAAAGCCAGCAGATTTTGGTGTATCAGTAAAAAAATCTGGATATAGAATAGATAACAAATATTCACTCTTTATTCTATTAAAAAACTGAAGAAATGGTAGAATTGTTATTTATGCACACATACGGTATGTGTTTTCCCACTATGCAAAAGTGGAATTTTCCTTTTCAATGTGATTTGGAAGGCTATTTTTGGAGCCCAGAGACACTATTACCACTGATTTATCTAGAAACACATTTTTTTTTTCTGAGCATTTCCACACCCCAAATGGGACCGACCAAATCATACCTGACAGAAACATTCTCTGTCTATCAGAGCTCTGGGTTATCTTTAAGCAGGTCAAATGAGTAACTACAAGAAATCAGGATTTTACCAAGTTCCCATTAAACTTTGGAGACCAATTTCTTTCTAGTCCAACTTGGATATTTTACTCATTTTTCAGAAGTCCACTCAAATGGAACCATAGCTGCACACTGTCTTACCCATCTGAGTTTTGATTAGCATCAGCCCCCAAAGAGAAAGTCTTAACCAGTAAATGTTTCCCGACGACAAACTACTTGTTAAAACTAATGATCTTAATTTATATTCCACCAGCCAGTCCATGCACATGACGGGTTCGTATCTGCGAGCCTCCCTCCCGAAGAGAGAACGTTGGGAGCCCACCTTGGAAGGCGTTTGCTGACAAGGACGGATTGCAGTGCTCAGACGGAGCACACGGCATTTGGGGCTCAGACGCTCGACCATGACCTTCCAACAGGAAGTGGCCAATCACGGGGACAGTAATTCACTGCCCACAGCACACAGGGCAGCGTGAGCATGATAAATGGAGCCTCCCACCAACAAATGCAGCCTCAGACCAACACTGCCCACAGGCAGACGGTGATCTGCTCCGCACCCTTCCCCTTAAATAAAACACTCCAGGAGAGCAGAGCTGCTGTCGGCTCCCGGGCCCTGAATCCCGCCCAGCTCAGGCGCAGGGCGCCAGCACAGAGGGGCTGCAGGAGGCTGCAGAGGGGCGCGCGGGCTGCACCCCTCCCCGGGCACCGAAACGAGTCTTCGTCTTCGCAGGCCCGACGAGCCGAGGCTTCCCAGTCTCCCTGCAGCCTGGATCCAGCAGGCCCGTGACGAGGCAATGAACGGAGGTGGGGCGGGGGCACATGAGTGAGGAGAGCTGCAGGTCCCGCCTTTAAGCCTTCGTCTGGGCAACTGTGACCAAAACTAAAGCCCAACTGTGAACAGAGCCCTGGGTCCAGAGGACTCTGGACACCGAGGAGCCTCAGAAACCATTCTGAAGAAGCAACACAAAAAACGCAAAATATTTTACATCGCTTTTAGGGAATTGGAAAGCAGAGAAGGCGAACAAATGAAGGGCTTTTTGGAGGCGAGAAAGCTTCTACCTGTGGATTTCGTATCTCCGATGTGTCCAAGAAGCAGTTATCATAACCTAAGAGGCGTCCGCAGAAGCAAGATGGGCCTGCCGCCTTACGTTGGTGCTTACGGATTTACCGTGGTGGACTATGTTTGCCTCTGTACACGACTGCCCAGAGGTGAGTTCCCAGGCAGCCTATGCAATAAACTAACAATCCTGCTCTCTTCCCCCTCCAATGGAGAGTCATACTGAATAACTAAAGGTCTTGCTTGTTTTATTTATTTTGGTTTTTTGGGTCACACGCGACACTGCTCAGGGGTTCCTCCTGGCTCTGCACTCGGGAATCACTCCTGGCAGTGCTCGGGGCACCATATGGGATGCTGAGAATCGAACCCGGGTAGGCCGCGTGCAAGGCAAATGCCCTCCCTGCTGTGCTATTGCTCCAGCCCCTGAAAGTTTTGTTTTAAGCAAAAATACGCTCCTCTAAAACAAATCCCAATACTCTTAAGGATGCAAACATTAAAATATTAAAAATTCCTGATGGCTTACTGGTTAAGTCAGATCCCTGACATATCAACAGAAGATATTCATTCACTTTTTTTCGATTCCCAAGACACTGTGGTGGGACGAAGATACAACCCAAACTCCTGCCTGCTAGAGTACACTTCCATTTGGATATGGTGTCAGATCAAGGCGGATCAAGAAATTTCCTTAACATGCTACTATCAAGATTTCACAATCTATTCACAG